AATTTTACATTAACGTCTGTCCCTATTCCTCTTGTTCATTTCTAGCTCAGCTTTTAGCTTTCAAACATATTTCTGAACTCAATGTATTAGTCATTCTTCCAGGATTAGGTCTTCTTTACATTAAGCATGTCATTTTCCCTCCATCTAAAACACTGGATAAATAAACGTTGAAGAAAATGAGGCCAAAGAAAGTACTGCTGATTCTTCTAATTCTTTAGGGAACTATAATTCTGTTCTTAAGTTCCTATTTCTTCAAAACCAGTTTCTCCCCATCATGGATTTTCCCATGATTCCCTATGATACATGTAAGACTGATCAGTTGTTTACCAGGACTATAATTAGAATTAGAAGGGACTTTCCAGGATCATCTAGTCTTGCCCAACTCCCTCCTTTGCAAATAAGGAAAGGGAAATCAGGAAAGTTTAGTTATGTACCCTTGGCTGCATGGCTAATAAGTGGCATATTTGGGAGCAGAACTAATGAATTCTAAATACAAATATATGGCGTTTTTCCATGACAGGTTTTTATTCAAATTTTTGTATTTTTATCTGTTTATTTCATCTACATGAAATAACATAAACTATTGTTTTTGATGATTCTGTTTCATCTAAAACATTGTGCCCTTTTTGTTTTCAAGGGTATTCCGGCTACCACACAAGGAGTACATATATTGCTGCTTCTACTTTTTAAGTCCATTCAGGGAACAGATGGGTGAATAGACTGTCTCTACTCTGACAAGCCACAAAGCAAAATGAACATAAATTTTGGGTTGCTGCAGATAGCGAGGAAAGGAATATTTTGGTTACAAATCTCAAATCCTGACCCTCAGTCTAGAAATGTATTTAAGCTTATCAACTTTCTAAGACTCAATAGAGAAAATGATAGTTTTATATTGTATTAATGGTATTTATTGAATCACTGTATCAATGATACAATATATTCTTTTTATATCATTTCTGGTTGATTTATGGTCAATATCACTTTTGACCAAACTTAGATATGAAATCCACTGTATTATTACTATTATTATTATTTTGCTTTTTCTCCCCAAATCTCCCCAGTACATAGTTGTATATATATATTTTTTTGGGGGGGGGGGAAGATTAGCCCTGAGCTAACTACTACCAATCCTCCTCTTTTTTGCTGAGGAAGACTGGCCCTGAGCTAACATCTGTGCCCATCTTCCTCTACTTTATGTGTGAGACACCTACCACAGCATGGCTTTTGCCAAGTGGTGCCATGTCCGCACCTGGGATCCAAACTGGCAAACCCCGGGCCATCGAGAAGCGGAAGGTGTGAACTTAACCGCTGCACCACCAGGCCGGCCCCATAGTTGTATACTTTAGCTGTGGGTCCTTCTAATTGTGGCATGTGGGTCGCCATCTCAACATGGCCTGATGACCGGTGCCATGTCCTTGCCCAGAATCCAAACCAGCGAAACCCTGGACCGCCGAAGCAGAGCACGCGAACTTAATCACTGGGCCACAGGGCTGGCCCCACTGTGTTATTAATAATAAACAACAACCACCATCTACCTCTCCACCAGAATCTAAGTTCCATGAGAGTTAGTATTTGTTTTTCATTCTATGATTTTTGCCTGGCTTGCAGTAGGCTCTCAATAAAAATATGCTGATAAACAAATAAATGAATAAATAAATTAACAGGCTTTTTAAAAGGAAAACTAACCCAAAAAATAGATCCAAAAATTTACTAACTCCCCCAAAAGTAAACAAAAGAGATATTTTCCAGAAGGATTCACTTGGCTACCAAAGTTAACTAAAGACACAAAGGAGTCTTAATATCATGATTACATTTTTTTCCCATTAGACTCCTTATGCATAAGAGACTTCTTTAACAATTCCTCTGTTCATTTTTCCAGAAACACCAAGCAAATATCAAAGATGAAATCAAGTTCACTATCATAAGATCATAAAAAGGCCATCACCAGATACATAAATTAGGCTCTTGTAAGTTAGTATTAGTATTACTTTATGACCTGAACTCAAAAACAATCCCAAGAATTCACTATTTTCTTTCAATGTTTTCATCACTTTCTTTGTACGCAGCTGCTCTCAGAACTCATTTCAAAACATCAAATCTCACATTTACCACAACAGCAACTTCTAGCCATCCTACACTGATTAAATCAAAACATACTCTTTACTGGTGCTTTTATTGAATGTTATCTTCTGCACAGTTCCTCTAAAATCTAAGTAAAAAGTACTAAAACAATGTTAATTCAAATGTTGAGGCTGAAGGAACTTGCTCACCTAATCCTTTTTTTCCTCTTATTTTTAATATGTTTACAATTTATTTAATTCACTTCAAGTGTCTATGCTAAATTCAAAGTTACTGAATTAGAACTAACTGCACCAAACTCAAATCATTTACATCTCTTTCCTATTTATTTAAAAATTTATACTAAAAAATTTAAAATTATTTTACTTATCAAGTCAAATCTAATGTTACTTGATGTACTGCCAATCAATTAGCTTATGTTTCATAAACAACATAAAGCATCAGCTTATATAAACCCACCAGGCTCTCTCCGTACAGTTTGCCCTTAAATTCACAAAAGTGAAAAATCTAATTAAAAAACTAAACTAAACTATGGATTTAACAAACAGATTAACTTACTGAAAAAGTCTTTAAAGACGTTTAACCAATCCACTTTGAATAAAAGTCCTGTGTTCTCCTTTGTCATTTTGTTAACACAGTTCAATTCTCAGTGAGCTCCTGGCCTGATCGGCAACACTCAAACTCCCCACACTCAGCCCACGTGACTTGGCCAACACCCAGGCAAGAGAAAGTTTTTGAGGGTTCTCTCTTTCCAAAACTTTCTCCCCATGAACTATGAAAAAAACCTATAAAACAAGCATATCACGATGGCTACAAATGTGACCAATTATTCAGACCTATTTTGGAAGAAACTTCAAGGTACATATATATTTCCAACAATATTCAACTACTGAATATTGTTGAAAATATATTCATGTCTTCGTGCTTTCCTTTGTTCTCTCCTTTTCTTTCTTAACTTTCAAACAATGTCTCCACCAGCACAATCACTGTAAAACAGATTCATTAATTACATGGGACATTTAAGTTACTAAAAAGGGGTTCAGAAATTCTGAGAAAGGAGGGGAGGCTATCTGACACAAAAGCTGGATTTCTATCATTATATAGGCTAACTTAAAACAGAATGTTTCCAAGTACCCTGGAATACAGGTAGCAGTAATTGTAATATAGTAAAAAAGTTAACAGAGATATCCTAGGACTTAAATAGATACAAAATCTTGCTAAAATTGTCTCAATAGTATCAGAAAATAGTATGGAAGGGTTCCAGGAGTACGAAAAAAATAATAATAATTGCATCTAACTTTGGCTTTTTATATGCAATAATATCTGGAACTGGGATATTTTTCCTCTTTGCTCTGTAATAGTTTTTTTCACTATCTTTTGTTAATTACTGTCACATTTGCTCTAGTCTGAGGATACCAACATCCTTTTAAAAAAGAACAAAAAATTCTCTCTAGATGTGGCCCTAGTCTTTTCTGTGCCTTCATCACTATGAGGCATACTTTCTTTACAGAAATTACCTTAATTTTCCCCAATACCTCTAATCAACATGCTTTAAATAAATGTCCAGTATGTACAAAATCAGAAGTATTCCTGGATCTAACTCTGGTCTCTTCAGCTATTCAAGGAAAATCTCATCCTGATTTGTCTTCCATTTAAACACTAATATTAAAAACTAGTAATAATGATCCTATTTGCAAAACCTTAAAATTTCATAAAAAGGTAACCTCAGATACAGCAGTTAAATGTCATGGTGAAAATTCTGACTAATAACTTCATTCATTAAATTACCTTTAGAATACTGGAAATGTTTTTAGCTCAGAAACTGATACTCCAATATTTTATATCTTACTTTAAATTGTACTGTATTTTAGTTTTTGCTGTCTTACAAATGGTTAACAACATAAAAGATTTGTCTTCTATTGCTGATAATTGAAAGAACATTCCAGTCTAGAATAACAATAATGTTGAATAGGAAACAAAAACTAATATAAAGCAGTTTGTCAATAATATTTCATTATTTGTCAATCACGCCACATTATTCCCAAACTACCTGTGCAAAGAGAAATCTTACTTTCTCTTCTACATATATAAAAAGAACTATTAAGTAACAGCACGCTTGCCTGAATGCCAAAATTGAAATTCTGTCCCTCCCAATTCCTTCCTGTCAGCCAAGGAGAGTTTAATTAAAAGGGGAAAAAGAGAGGCCAGTCCTCATCTGTACATACTTCCTTCCTCTCAGCTCAGCCAAGCCCCATCCGAGGCAGATTCTACTATCTCTGGCCCTAACAGAGGACCAGTAAAAACAAACAAACTTTACAGTTTAGAAGAAGAAAGAAAGGGAAAAAAGAGAAACAAAATAGAACAGCTTTGTAGATGCTAATCTACCTTGAAGATCCACAATTTAAAACTCATGTTTCAAATGTAGGAATAAAATGATGGTTTGTTTTTAAAAGTGAAGTTCAAAATATGAGCCATTAGATGTTAAAATACGGCAATGTGCCATACAAAATACGTTGTCTTAATGCCAAGGAGGCAATTCTGCATCTCACTCATTTATCTCTGTCTCAGTTAGATGCAGAATTTGCCTAAACTCCAACAGGCACCCGTGGTTCACGGAGCCCCTGCTGAAAGATCAGGTCAGTTCTGCTTGTTAGCACCACTGTAGCTTGACCCTTGAACTCTGGCCAGATCCACCAGGTAGATTTACAGAAACTGCCCACTAACACTTTTGACCTTCACTTGTCTCCTAACTTGAACACCTGCTATGAGCCAAACTTACCTTGCCTAGCTGAAATTCCACTCTTGGTCTTTTCTAGTCAATTCCGCTGCCTGCCACCAAAATTCTGTACAAAGAACCAAGCTCTGACATCCATTTAAAAAAAATGTATCACTGTTGTTGTGTTAATACAAAAATAACTTACCTAAGGTATCCTTTAGGTTTTTTACAATAGATGCTTTCCGAGCGCTGTTTTTCCTTTCCACATAGTTAGAAGGCACAAAACCCATTTTATTCATGGAATTTCGAACTCGCCACCAGGACTTAGAATCATCCAGAAGCCACAATTTCTCATTCTTCTTAATGTCCAGCTCTTGTTCTTGTTGGGCCACATAATCGAATTTGGCTACTAGCACCACTTCTTCTGCCATCTTTCAGCAGCTTCAGCACTGTAAACACATAGAAAATATTTTTTATAAGGTTTAAGTAGTAGTAGTCTACTTTTCAAAAGAGACACACCTAAAAATCTAAGAGCACTGAAGGGCTGAAAGTAAAAATATGAAAAAAAATACACCAGGTAAATTCTAATCAAAACAAAACTGGTATAACTATATGAATAACACACAAAAGGACGTTAAAGCAAAATCAATAGTAGTTATAAAGTTGGCCATACAATGATAAAAAATTTTATTTAATATACATAACAGCTAAATTTCTATGTATCCATTAACATAGCTCCAAAATGGACTGATGGAACCACAAGGAAAAACTGACAAATCCATCATCACAGAGCACGATTTTTGACATATTTATCTCAATAATAAATCAAGGAGACAAAAAATTTAGTAAGGTAAGAGAAGAACTGACATCACGACCATTAAGTTTGATCTAACAAACATATCCAAATATTACTTCCAAACAGAAGAATACAAACAGAATATATACAAAAATTGATCAAATGCTACAGCATAAAGAAAGTCTCAACAACTTTCATGTACTTAGTATCCTACAACCATATTCTCTGACAACCACAACAAAAAGATAACTTTTTAAAAACTTCATGTTTGGAAACTTCTAAAAACTCATGAGACAAAGAAGAAGTCATAACAATTTTGAAAATACTCAGAAGTAAAATAATAAAAAGACTATACAGCCAACCTTGTGGGATGCAGTAAAAGGAGTATATAGAGGGAGATTCTTAGTTGTAAATAGTTCATCAGAAAAATAAGAAAAGCTAACAATAAATTGATGAACTCAGCATCCGTCTTAAGCAATGAGAAAAGTAGATAGATGAATATAAGAAAAGTAGAAAAAGGAAACAATACAAATAAAAGTAGAATTTAATGAAACAGAAAACAGATATAAAGGCTCAACAAAACAAAAAGTTAGTTCTGTTATGACTAACAAAATGGACACAGTTCTGGCAAGACTGATAATGAAAAAAGGAAAAAGCACACCCAAATATCAGAAATGAAAAGGAATGGTTGGCCCCATGGCCAAGAGGTTAAATGCACACACTCTGCTCTGGTAGCCCAGGGTTCACCAGCTCAGATCCTGGACACGGACCTACATACTGCTCACCAGGCCATGCTGTGGTGGTACCACACATAGCAGAACCAGAATGACCTACAACCAGGATATACAACTATGTACAGGGGCTTTCAGGAGAAAAAAGAGGAAGATTGGCAACAGATGTTAGTTAGCTCAGGGCCAATCCTCCTCACCAAAAAAAGAAGGGGAAAAAAAGGATATATTTAAAAAAAAATGAAAAGGGAGTAATAATTCTAGATGCTGCAAGCATTCAAAAGACATGGCAATATTATAAACAATTTTATCAATAACTCTGAAAACAAGTAAAATGTACAAATTTCTAGAAAAATAAAAATAACACAAGTAATAAAATCGAATCAGTCATTAAGATATCTTCCCATAACAAAAACACCAGGGCCAGATGGTTTTACAGGTAAGTCCTATTAAAATTAAAGGAACAAATATTCCAATTTATACAAACTTTCAGAACAAAGAAAGGAAAATTACAAACCTAACTCATTCCTGAACTGAGGTCAGCTCTCTGCTTTCTTCAGAGAGATTATTTTACATAAACAGCTTCCCCAGGCTTAGCAAACCAATATATTCAGCTTTTGATTTTGGATAATGAATAGCATTCTCTTTTCTCAACAATGAAGGAGTTCTTCAATGTTCTCAGGGAAGAGAATTCAACATCAACTAGCAATCAAGTGTAGACACTTTCGTAGCTACAAGATAGATACTTTTTGGGGGGCACCGAAAGGCCTCAAAACCTACCACACATTCTTCTGAAATAGACTCAAGTATGTACAGCAGCAAAATAACTAATAAGCTAAAAAAGAGGATGATGTCGTATTCAACAAACAATAATGAACAGAGAGAAACCAGAAAATTAACTTGTATTCTTGTAACTTATCTTTGTTTGAAATTATTTCCAAATAAAAACTTATAACTAAGTCTAAATAATTAACAGCACATGATGTAAAAGATTACAACAAGTAACAGACTTTCTGAGACGCTGGAAAGCAAAGAGATTTTTCCAGGGATACTTGGGCACTGACTCTGATTCCTTCCCTGTGGGAACTTCCCCATAATTAATCTACAAATTTAATGAAATTTAATCCTAGATCTCAATGAAATTTATCTTGAAACTTGACAAAATGATTTTAAAATTTATCTAGAAAAGTAAACATATAAAACCGGCAAATAATATTTTGGAAAAAATAAGAGTTGGTATAATGACACTGTAGGTTGTACACCCAGCATTCATTTTCTCTTCCTAATAAGATCCCAATTATCCTTCTAGTTACCACTTCGCTATTCTTTTAGCCATGCAACTTGGGAGATTGACTCTAGCTTCAAAGGTGAATTTGGGTTAATCAAAAAGGGCTTTATGCAAATGAGAATCACTATGGAACTTTAAAAAAAATACAGGAGCTTGGGCCCCTATTTCAGAGACTCTAATCAGTCTCGAGCGTCACGCAGGCATCAGTGTTTTTAAAAGCTATTGTACAGCTAGGATTGAGAACACTTATCTAAGCCAATCATGACAATCTCTCCCTTGCTAGGTTTGTCCACATCAACCCACTTAAGGCCAATAGGATGCAAGGAAAACTACGCTAGAAACTTCAGGGAAAAGCTGACTGGCTCTTGAGAAACACAGTAAAAGACTGTCTCTATATTTTGTCATGGACAGATGTGAGGCCTAGAGAACCACTGCAGCCTCTTGTCACCAGCTGGAGAATGATGCTGTCCGTCACTGACCAAAACGTCATTATGTGGCACAAGACTGTAGAGGCAAAAGTACCCTATCAGTATCAAAATGCAATAAAACATTAAGGCAATTTAAAGTAATATGATATTGGTGCAGAGTGAAAGAGACTAGTAGAATATAGATTGAGGTCTAAAAATAGATACACCCACATACAGGGGGCTTTAGAAACCTCTTCTCTAATGTACCAGCTGGGAGTTCTAGTTTTGGCTTTTTAAAGTAGATGGAGTACTTCAAAGCACTTAATAAAAAATGGATTTTCGTGTATCTTCCCCCTCAAACATTTACAGTGGTCTCACCCAGACCTACTTCAAAAGCAAGTAATTTTTTAAAGTGACCTCCTTTGATAAGTCTTTCCAAAACAATCAACTTAGTTTTCACAAAACAACTTGTTTAGCACTATTTTTGTTTGTTTTATATAATATATCAAATTATAGTATGAAGCACAACTGAAAGAAACAGTACGTCTAACTCTTGGTAAGCAGATTCAACTCAAATGTCAAGGGTATCATCAGGTTGTACTGTTTGATAACAGAAATGGAGGCATTTAGTTATTCAGACAAGTCAGTTAACTTCTACTCTGTGTGTGTAAACATGCAAATATATGAGAATTCCATCTATAGCAGGGGTGATATTTCAAATCACTGGAGAAGAATGACTTATTCAATAACTGACACTAGGCCTAAAGCTGTCTATTTGGGAAAAACATAGTCCAGTCCTACCTCACACTACATACAAAAGTAAATTAGAGGACTTTTACTTCCAGGAAGAGGGAGTAGTTGTACTTTTCCCTATTCATCCAAGTAAGTACTACTAAAAACCTGGATGTTATATATAAAACAAACATTAGAAAACTTTGAAAGGTAAAGAGAAGGCAGCAAATAAGCTAGGACCTCAGGACCCAAGGAATGACATACTGGTGAACCCCCTAAGTTTTATTTTTGCCTGACATATCCTGAAGTCTTATTTTTGTCTGATATATTCTAGACTTTGAGCTGAAGATTGGCAACCTAGACATACCAATAGGCACAGACAAAACAAAACAAAACAAACAAAACCCAGTGCTCTTCAGACAATGGATCAAAAAAGGCACAGCCTAGCAAGACAGGAAACTTTTAGACACTAAACACTCTACTCCAGTCAAACACTACAGAAAAAAATGACCCCATCCATTCCTGCAAAGACCAAGTAGGAAAGCTATACTTCCTACTCTCAAGAGGCTATAATAAGGCACCTCAACATCTCTACCTGGTGGTATAAGTAAGGGCCAATTAAGGATCCGGGACTTCTACCCATCAGCCAAACAGAAAATCAGCAAGGATATAAAAGAAATCAGCAACACATTCAACCAAGAGGATCTAACCAACATTTACTGAACAATCCACTCAAACAACAGCAAAATACACATGCTGTTCAAGTGTCCATGGAACAAATACCAAGATAGACCATATCCTGGGCCATAAAACAAACCTCAACAAATTTAAAAGAACTGAAGTCATACAATATGTTCTCTGAATACAAAAGAATCAAACTAGAAGTCAATAATAGAAAGATAACAGGAAAATCTCCAAATATTTGGAACATACTTCTAATCCATGGGTCAAAGAGGAAGTCTCAAGGAAAATCAAATATTACATCGAAATGAAAATGAAAATATAACCTATCAAAATTTGTGGGACACAGCTAAGCAGCACTGAGAGAGAGTTACAGCACTAAAGGCATTTAATTAGAAGTCTTAAACCAGTAATCTAAGATCCTAACTCAAGAACCTAGAGGGGAAAAAAAGCAACATAACCCTACAGCAAAAGGAAAGAAATGATAAAGATAAAAGCAGAAATCAATGAAACTGAAAACAGAGAAAAATCATGAAAAAAACAGCTGGTTCTCTGAATAGATCAATAAAATTGACAAACCTCTAGCAAGAAAAAAAGAGAAAACACACAAATAAACAATATTAAAAATGAAATAGAAGATATGCTACAGTCCCTGCAGACATCAAAAGGATAATAAGGGAACGCTACTAACAACTCTACACACACAAATTCTGCAACTTGGAGGAAACAGATCAATTCTTCAAAAAACACAAATTACCACAACACACTCAACATGAAATAGATCATTTGAATAGCCCTATAACATTCAGGAAGTTAT